AGTCAATGTATGACAGTTTCTGGCAGACAACCACAACGCTGACGCAGGCACAAAAGGGATATGAAGCCATCGACAGGCGACCGGTAAAACGCAGCATTACCGGAATAAAATGACAGATTTCTCTGAGTTTGAACATCGTTGGAAACATTTGGGGTAATGTAAGAACACAACTGAACATATAGAACATAGAGCCAGAGTTTATAGACTGTTTAATGATTATAAACTATTGGTCAAAACACTGTAAATACATCTTTATAAAATTGATAACACATGCACACTGTACCTGTAACCTGTCTGCTGTGTGAAGTTTTCATATTTTAACACTGAAATATGAATATAAGTTTTGGACTTTATAGAGAACAACAATTATTTTCAGTAATCACTTCGACCCAGATCTGTGGACAGTAAGTTGGCAGCAGAAGCTGATCAGTGGTCTGTTGGCTGCACACACTTCCGCTCTGCCTCATTACTTATTGATCAGTAATCTGTTCTGTCGTGTGCGCTGTTGCTCTGCAGATAACACACGTACTTGTGTTTATTTTTCGGTTTAATGTGACCGACCAAACATGCACACTGCCGTTTGACAACAGTCCTCAATTAGTTATCGGAGTCGTGGGAAGTGCTTCATTAGAGATATTTAACAATTCATTTAACTCCTATTATCACTCTGGGACCGTTGTGTCAGTGTGGTTTAATGGCTCAGTGGTTTCTGAAGTTCTCCCAGCATCACAAACACTCCTGCTGCTGGGTGGTTGTTTGTTGTTTCAGTGTGACAGCTGTACAGATGTTTGAGCAATTTCTAAGGATCAGATCGATGAAGTGTGTTTAAAGTAATGTGGAGAGTAAAAGTTAGTAGGAATTTCCTTACAGTCGTTTCAAAGTGAGTCAGAGTGATATCTAACATGACAGGAACCATCTTTGATCGACGATGATCCTCTGCTTTACGGGATGAGGGCTATTAAAAATAAGGTGGCCAGTAAACCAGCAATGATGGCCACGATCTTGAGCGCATCCTTCCACCAACAGTGGCGGGCACCTGTCTGTGCGAGCCGAGCGGAGGAGGCCTCGATGTGCACCTGCAAAGACCGGACGACGGCTGCGTCCATGGCTGGATCCTGTACCACTATTACAGTGTCCAGCAGCTTCCTGGTGCTGAACCTCTTCTGCAGGTCTTTCAGCACGGTCTTGCACACTTTCTTGACGTCCGGGCAGAAGCCTTCAGTGGAAGTCCCTCCATCGTCTGGTTTACCAGTCTCTTTCAGTAGAGAACCCACTGCTCACGGCTGTGGTTCTGGAGAGCGTGATACTTGGTCAGCACTCTCGCCGTCAGCAGGTTGACGAAAAAGCGGAGCTAGTTCTCACTCCCTGCCCCGGTTGTAGACTCGCAACAACCAGAGCCAGAAGGATCGGCAGACTCCGGGAAGGTTTTTTTCAGATACAGCACTTGTTTGTGGATCTTCCATTGTGTCAGAAACATACTGGTTCCATACTTCAGTCATTCAGTAGTCTCTGGTGTGAACTCTAATCCTGAATGTGGGGAACTATGTAGTCTTTGTGCTGTGATGTGCTCTAGAACATTTCATAGAACACAGATTCTAGAACGTGACTCTGATTCTAGAACACGTCAGTCTTAATGCGAAGTAACCATAGAAACAGCTAGGCCTGTAACCTACTCAAAATGTCCATTATTACTGTCCTTCTTTCAGTTCAACAGCCCGTCACATTCACCTAAACTTTATGAGAAGGACACAAACTTGACAAACATGATTTCACCCCCCAAACGACAAAGAAAGACATTAATGCCAGAGACAGTTAAAGAGCGTGTCTGCCCGCCTCTGATATCTCCAGTGGGGGAAACCTTCACTTTTACAGCCTTTCTGCCATGACGGCGACCCTCCTTCACACCCGTCGCAGTCATCCACTTATATCTCTGTAAACGGGAAGAAAACCTCCTTCCTGTGTAATCAGACCGGAGGAGATCAGAACCAGACTGCAAGGAATCCAAAGTCTTTTTTTGTTGTTTTCTGTGTAATTAAATTTAGAGACAAAGAAAACCCTGAACCACCTGCTGCCTCTCCTCTCAGTTATGTGTTTCTTATCTGTCCGGGCTCCATCGCCGTCTCATTGATTTTTGTCTGTTGCCATGACAGCAGATGGTCCCACTGGTTTTGAATAGGCAGCGCCGCCTCAGTGCGTCGACCTGGGTCAGACGGACCTGACTCGTAACTTTTACTCAGGCACTGACACTGCTGACGACATCAGTCTCAGAGTCCACTTTTGTTTTCAGACGAATGGTATCTCATCAGAAACTGCAAATAATAACTGTAATAGTAACAATATTAACATTTAATACTTGTTTCACTCATCTGTTTGATCATTTTAAGACTGTGATAAACATTGTGATCTGTGATTCTGCTCAAGTTGCTCTCTATATATCAATATTAAATCATTCCAGTGACAAAAGGTTTTCTCACCAACTTGCATCTAGCAAGATAGAAGCTGACGGCAATGAGTGAAGACACCAACTCCCATGATTCCATGCTGCTTCACCAATCTTATTCTTATTCATTCATAATCTAATTAATCTACATCAACTGATAGCTAGCTAATTATATCTGAAAGGTAATGTTAGCTAAATGGAAGCTATTTGGCTAGCTAACATTGGATATAGATTAGCTGTTATTATTTTATATATATATATAAATATATTGCTTTTGTCTTTTAACCATTTTCAATATGTGGTTCTTTTCAACATAGATTAGCCTAGCATGTAGCCTATCTAAGTACAGGAAAGAAGGAAGTTGACTGAGGTTCCTAAAGGGGCGGAGCTTAAGAA